TAGGTGGGTGTGGGTGCCACTGGTAAGTGGGTGTGGGTGCCAGTGGTAGGTGGGTGTGGGTGCCAGTGGTAGGTGGGTGTGGGTGCCACTGGTAAGTGGGTGTGGGTGCCAGTGGTAGGTGGGTGTGGGTGCCACTGGTAGGTGGGCGTGGGTGCCAGTGGTAGGTGGGTGTGGGTGTCACTGGTAGGTGGGTGTGGGTGTCACTGGTAGGTGGGTGTGGGTGCCAGTGGTAGGTGGGTGTGGGTGCCAGTGGTAGGTGGGTGTGGGTGCCAGTGGTAGGTGGGTGTGGGTGCCAGTGGTAGGTGGGTGTGGGTGCCAGTGGTAGGTGGGTGTGGGTGCCACTGGTAGGTGGGTGTGGGTGCCAGTGGTAGGTGGGTGTGGGTGCCACTGGTAGGTGGGTGTGGGTGCCACTGGTAGGTGGGTGTGGGTGCCACTGGTAGGTGGGTGTATTCAAGTAGAATACTTCCCACCCGACACTACCGATAGTACCGACCCGACACACTACCTGTCCCCTCCTCTCACTATTTATCTTTATTCTTCTCCATTTCTCTCGTTCATCTATTCACTATCCACTATTTTCCCGCTCATTGTCGTCCTCATTCGCTCAGTTTGAACTCATCCTCATCCACTCTTCATTTAAACAAATTATCTTTAATTTATTCATGGTTCTATATTCCATCTGCCACACAATGATGAGCTTAATGTGGTTCCAAGCCTCTCCATTATTCATCTAGTCTCATTTTTGTATTCTCTATTTTGGGGTTATATACAATACACACACAAACACACAAACAAATGTGTGTTTGTGTGTGTGTGCTCACTTCGTTGTGCTTGTGGGGGTTAATTTCTGGCTCTTTGGTCCCGCCTCTTGACTGTCAATCAACTGATGTACAGGTTCCTGAGCCTATTGGGCTCTATCATATCTACATTTGAAACTGTGTATGGAGTCAGCCTCCACCACATCACTGCCTAGTGCATTCCATTTGTTAACCACTCTGATACTAAAAAAGTTCTTTCTAATATCTCTGTGGTTTATTTGGGGACTCAGTTTCCACCTGTGTCTCCTAGTGCGTGTGCCCCTTGTGTTAAATAGTCTGTCTTTATCTACCCTATCAATGCCTTTGGGAATCTTGTATATGATGATCATGTCCTCCCCTAACTCTTCTGTCTTCCAGCGACGTAAGGTTTAATTCCCGTAGTCTCTCTTACGTGTGTGTGTGTGTGTGTGTGTGTGTGTGTGTGTGTGTGTGTGTGTGTGTGTGTGTGTGTGTGTGTGTGTGTGTGTGTGTGCGCGCGTGCGCGCTCGTGTGTACACATGGATGTGAAATCCTCACGACATTGGAAGACAGAAGAGTTATTTGAGACATGATCACTACATTTAAAATTCTCAGAGGAATTGACAAGGTAAATAACGATAAACTGTTTAGCATGGGTGATACGCGAACAAGGAGACACAGGTCGAAACTTAGTACCCACATGAGCCACAGGGACGTTAGAAAGAACTTTTTCAGTGTCAGAGTAGTTAACAGATGGAATGCATTAGGCAGTGATGTGGTGGAGGCTGACTCCATACACAGTTTCAAGTGTAGATATGATAGAGCCCAGTAGGCTCAGGAATCTGTACACCAGTTGATTGACGGTTGAGAGGCGGGACCAAAGAGCCAAAGTTCAACCACCGCAAGTACAATTAGGTGAGTACACACACGCACGCACACGCACGCACGCACACACACACACACACACACACACACACACACACACACACACACACACACACACACACACACACACATACTCTTCCAACCTTGGCTTTTAGCGCCCCAACAAACTCTAACCTCGGATGAACTCCAGTTATCAACATTTTGCATATAGATTGAAAATAGAAATAAACCTTTCTCCCTTCTCTTTCCCACACTCGTGCTATCCTCTACTACCTTCCCTTCCCCCCCCCCCCTACCCACAACTTTCTCTCTCTCTCTCTCTCTCTCTCTCTCTCTCTCTCTCTCTCTCTCTCTCTCTCTCTCTCTCTCTCTCTCTCTCTCTCTCTCTCTCTCTCTCTCTCTCTCTCCCCCATTCCTCTCTCTCTGCCCCTATTCCCCATTCTCCCCAATCCATACTCAGAGGAAGTTAGGTAATATAATCACACGCACGTTAAAAATTAGATGTTTTTCGATTAAGCTTTTAGTTGTTATATCACCGCACGACTTGTGGCCCACTTCTAACACTGTACTTGTGGCCTGCTTCTAGCACTGTACTTGTGGCCCACTTCTAACACTGTACTTGTGGCCTGCTTCTAACACTATACTTGTGACCTGCTTCTAACACTATACTTGTGGCCTGCTTCTAACACTATACTTGTGGCCTGCTTCTAACACTATTCTTGTGGCCTGCTCGTAACACGATACTTGTGGCCTGCTTCCAACACTATACTTGTGGCCTGCCTGTAACACTATACTTGTGGCCTGCTCGTAACACTTTATACATGCGGCCTGCGGAAGCGTGGGCGAATTAAGTCCCTTAATTAACTCTTAATGCACCAGTCGGCCTTTTCACTGAGGACAAATGTAACGCACATTGACTTTTAACTGAAGACAGATTTCCGACAGATTTCCGTCTACATTTCTCACGTGTATGTAAGTGCTCGCGCCTTCCTGCCTCTCGTTCCCCTTCCACTCCGTAAACCTTCCCTTCCCTTCCCTTCCCCCTCCTGTGCTAATTTCAAACCCCTTCCATACTTTTCGCAGACGACCAAGTCCTGCCCAAAGTCCTGACGACGACCAGGTTCCTCTCAAAGACCCATAGAGTACAGTTAGAAAGTCCCGAAGACAACCAGGACCTTCCCAAAGACCCGTAGGGGCTCCAGGAGGGCCTCACAAAGACCCCGAAGATGCTAGGGTCTGGAAAGTGGCCAGCCTGGAGTAGGCCCACCGCCACCCACAGGAAGGCCAGGGTGGAGCAGGGAGCAGTGGAGCGCGAAGCAGTAAGGGTGGCTGAAGAAAGCAGTGTGGGGGGAGGGGGGGAAAGCAGCGTGGGGGGTTAGGGGAAAGGTGGGGTAGGGGGGGCAGCGTGGTGGGGGGGTGTTGGAGAAGAAGGTGGGGGTGAGGGGGTGTGGCAGGCAGTTGGTGGTTGGTGAGCAGACTCAAGTATCACCACGTGATAAGTCTCACTGCCTTGTAACCCACCCTCTCTCTCTCTCTCTCTCTCTCTCTCTCTCTCTCTCTCTCTCTCTCTCTCTCTCTCTCTCTCTCTCTCTCTCTCTCTCTCTCTCTCTCTCTCTGGGCCTATCACACCGTGAAGACTTCAGCTCCTGGGCCCCTGATCACCGTCGTTCATCTCGGTACACATATCTTCATAGCATTTACTTTTTTAAACTGTGAATGGTTAATACTGCACCGTCTTCATTTTTAATTAATTTCTCTTCCTTATACATGGAGTTCTTTGCGTACTTTCACTCTCACTCTTCGTTGCTCGTCGTTCTTATGCCCATTCGTTTTTCCCCGTCATTTTAGCTTTCCCGTTCTGATTTACCTCACCGCTTCATAGTTATCTCAAACAGGTTACTCTCCCTCGCGGAGGATGTGGTTCCTAGGGGGGTAGAAATAGCCTAAGCTGCTCTATCCCTTTGAGATGTATTTCTTTCTTGTCTCAATAAACATACTTGAACTTGAACTTGAATGTGGTTCCTCAGGCAGATGAGCACCGCTGGTCTATCTTGAGATTATCTTGAGATGATTTCGGGGCTTAGCGTCCCCCGCGGCCCGGTCTTCGACCAGACCTCCTTTTTGTTACACACCCCCAGGAAGCAGCCCGTAGCAGCTGTCTTAACTCCCAGGTAACTGCTAGATAATAGGGGTATCAGGGTGCAAGAAACATTTTGCCCATTTGTCTCCGCCTCCACCGGGGATCGAATCCAGAACCTCAGGACTTCGAATCCGAAGTGCTGTCCACCCAGCTGTCAGGCTGGTCCAAACCGAACAGCAGCGGTGAGGCAAAGCAAATGGTTCTTTTCATACCGGTGCTGGAAGGGTGACAGGGAAGGGGGGGGTAGGGGGAAGAAGGGAGAGGGAGTAGAGGGGAGACGGGGGAGCAGAAGAGTTGTGAAAGGGGGGGGGGGAGGGAATGGAGGAGACAGAGTTGGACAGTGGGATGGAAGGGTAGGAATAATGGCAGAGAACATGGGGGACGGGGAGGGGTCTGAATTACAAGGAGAATGGTTAATGGGCGAAGCAGTGAAAATGGAAGAGCATATGAAGACTGGGATGTAGAGAGGAAGAGGACGGCAGAGGATATAATCCATAAGGAGGATAAATGTAACTCAATATATTTTGGTGATGACTGTTGCTTGTCGACTGTACTTCAGTCTGTGTGTCTGGAAACCGTAAGTTGACTTCTTGACCCACGGTGGCGTAGCGACAATTAGCGGTTCTTGCTAAACTCATCTTCCGGCCTATATCTGGATGAGTTACATAGACCAAAATACAGTCATTGGCTACATACAGTTCCTACAAAAAAATATAAACATACCTAAAATATGTAGTTTTTAGAAGTTTTAGTAGTTTTTTTGTAGTAGCTACGTTTTTAAGGCAAGGCAAAATTGCCTTACGGCAAATACGGTGATGACACTTATGAACTGTTAATTTTTACATTAACACTATATTGATTTAGCAAGTTTGTTCATAATGAAGCTAAACAGAAAATCTTGTATAGAAGGGACGCGCATGTTATTTTAATAGATTACCATAATAACAACAAATTTGAAAATGCATATTCATACATAAATACATGCATACATAGATTATATGTCTCGATATTTCACATCATCTGGGAATATGTTGCATTATCACCTTCAAGTCATATATGTGACTTGGGTTATACGTTTGAGCCCCGTTATTGTGACCTATTCTCTGCATTTAATGGTATTTAACTTTACTGTATATTTTTGTAAAATTGTGGATGAATATCTGATCTAGAAATTAATGCCCATTTTTTTCCCCTTTCAGACGAAGAAGCACAACCCAAACCATGTGAAACGGCCCATGAACGCATTCATGGTTTGGTCGCAGATGGAACGGCGAGAGATTGTGAAGTTCGCTCCAGATATGCACAACGCAGAGATCTCCAAGCAGCTGGGAAAGAGGTGGAAGAACCTCACAGAAAATCAGCGGCAGCCTTATATCCAAGAGGCGGAACGACTACGTCTGCTGCACATGCAAGAATATCCCGACTACAAATACCGGCCCCGTAAGAAAACAAAATCCGGCAATGCTGTGAAGACTATTGAGAAAGGTCGTGTATCCAAGGCTAAGGACAAGAACAGTACCAACAGTAACGCCCTTAAAGGAGTCAAATTGACAGCTGATCCCTCAAGGGCTCATGTTACCACCGGGATTTCAACAATCAACCACAATAAGCTCAAACTCAAGCTCAAAATTGACAAGAAGTTCAAGGAGTCTATTCGGAACACGATGTACGTACCCATTGCGCAATGCACCTCACCAGCTGAGGTCCCGGCCACGCCCCACGAGATGCCCGCCTCTCCAGAGAGCGCCTCCCTCTACGATAACCACGTCACCACAACGTCTTCGAGCCGAAGTAGTAGTCGTGCTACTTCCACGAGCCCCTGTCCAGGCAAGGAACCATTCCTCTACGGCCTTTACACTATCGAGAGCGCTCCTGGTCTCACCTCCCTACGGCCAGAAGCTCTCGTATCATCCACTACCGTCACTTCCACTGATGACGATGACGATGATGATAGTAAAGACGAGGATGAGGACGATGACGAGAAGGAACACCTGCTTTTATATAGTCGGAAACGACATACTGTGCGAGACGAGGTGTTCGCACCACGTCCCTTTCTTCCTACCTCTCTCTCGGGGTCTAGGGCCGCCAACCCTCCTCCCATCAAGATGGAGCCGATGGATATCAAGCAGGAACCACCGGCAGAGTCACCGCTGGCCGATCTCGACTCTCTAACGGACTTGCTTCAGATACCCTCCGACTTCAAGGTGGAAGTGGACGAAATTAACTCCGACCTCGATTTCGACGCGGTTTCCACGTCATCAGGATCTCATTTCGAGTTCTCAGACGTCTCAGACATGTTGAGTGATATTGGCGTTAGCAATGACTGCTGGGCTGACATCGGTATCATCAACTGCTGAACTGGGAGGGTCTGCTGGTGGCTGCTGACCGGGCTGTGCCCTCAGTAGCTACCAGTTGGGGCAGGACTCTATACACACTACTGCAGAGGCCGGCGGTAACTGAGCAACCTCCAGGGGCGTCTGGCTCCTCAGTAGTTGTGACTCCCAATCATCCCATCACCTCGGTGTTTTGCTGCAGTAAGAGTCAATATTTACTCTGAAATTTGCGAAGACTTTGGTGTTGAGGGGATGCAACTGGTGTGCTAGAGTAGTGATGATCGTCATGGTTCGCTGTGTCATTCTTTATGTTATACATATATTACTCATAGCAATCATGATATATATGATGGATTGACTTTTTCACTGTATTAGAGTTCGTCAAAAACTTTATATAAAAGAATGCCACAACAGTGTTTGTTGCAAGTGCCAGTTACACAGGTGGTTTAAGTAATGAAGACAGACAACGTGTTCTTCACCTGTGCAACTCCAGAACACTCCCAGAGGACATAATGTTAAGTGCATTTTCATTTTTCTATGAGTTGTTCTGTTAAGCTGTCATCCCATCGCCATAGTGACTGCAGATATCATCTCTCGTGTCACCGTTTTTTACCGTAACTGTTGAGCATTTTATAAAGCCAAAAGTGACTCGTGAACCTCCAGAGCTAATTACCCACAGCCATATGACAATAGAACACGAGGTGGTGCCAGTACCATTGCCATTAGTTGAGCTGCAGATGCTGAAGGAGACAGTTTCCTGTGTGAAAAAAAATGTGAAAATTGTTTCCCAAAGAAAACTGTAAAATACCTTTGTGCATTTAGTGGTCTCCAATGATCATCTTGTCAGTAACTTGTATATTTTACATGATTATTTTTTTTCCACTGGTGTTATTTTTTCATATTGTTCTCAAGTAGTGACAGTGGGATTGTCGACCAACAAAAGTATTTTAAAATCCCTGTTATATTACTTGGGCAAGTCCAACTGTAATAAGTAATGGCGAAAAGACGCCATATTAGAGCCTTAGTGTAATGCTCCTCGAGTCTTGTAATTGTCCACATTGAATGAAATATGAATTACCTCTGAAGAATTAGGTCCACAACCCCCCCACCCCTGTCTCTAGTCTGTATGTTCAGGTTATTTAAAAAAAATAAACGTATGTTAATTGATCGACAACGTTTTCCACAACGCATCGCAATGGGCATTTAGTCTGAAACGTTTGTACACAATTCATGCAGTACACATCTCAAGGGCCTGGGCTAAAAAAATAAATAAAAAGAACTATTGTTTACACTAGCATGTAAGTCCAAACGACAGTGGAAACTTTAGGTGATCCGTTTTAACTGCTTCATGTTCTCTTCCGTTTTGACTCGAGATCTTCTGGTAACATGAGCTTGTGTTTTATTGGTGTTAGGTCGTATAACCAAGCCTGGGGTACTGTGACCAGAGACTGATTACAAACCTCAAAATCTTTGTAAGAGTTGGTCGAGAGCAAGACGGATAACGACAAGCTGTTAAAGCGAGGTTCCTATAGCACTGTCCTCGTCCCAGTGCTCTCCAAAACAGGTTCCACCCACTAAACCACCCGGTTTCATATATATATATTTAAACATATATATGAATATATATAGTAATGGACTTTTGTACTAGTATTATTAATGCAAAGATCCGCGCTCTACAAGGTGCGAAGCATGGAAGGAGACACTAAAACTGGGTCGTTCTCTGGTATTGGTTGGCGATAGTGAGCGCGTCGGCCCGGGTTATTCCGTCATTGGTCGGGTCGTTGGCCAATCAGTGTTCGACGGGACCAAGTGCGGGTAGACGCCTTCCATCGCCTCGGGCCTCGGGCGCTCGGGTCATCATAGACTGCCGATCGTCGGATACACACATAAACATTACACATATACCCTCTGTCTTTCCTAAGTAAGTAAATGAAAAAAGAAATCAGCAGGTACGGCGCATTATCATTACCTACGTGATGGGGATTAGCAAATACAACAAAAGATGATCACGCTTCCTTCAGGTGCAGTTTCATACGTTGTCAAGTTGGAAACTGCACTGTAAATGACCACTGACACGTTGCTGTGTGGTAATCCCTGTCACGCCTCACACCATTGTTTCATTCATGTCTCTTTAGTGTCCCAGGGCAAAATTATTATTAATAATGTGTTAGTTATGCTCTGAAAATGGCTTGGTGTTTTCATGTCAAAACCTGAACGGCTGTATAAGTAAGAATAATTTATATACACGTGTGTATATAAATATATATTTTTATATATTTATATACACCACTGATGTGATTTTCTCATTGAATCTTGATAGTTTTGACCCCTGATAGCCACTCATGTGCTTTTGTAACTCTTTCTCCGTAACCACCTCAGTGCTCTACGGTAACACTTGAAGCAACTGTTACATCAATGGACAAGTTTCGCATGAAGAAACGCTCCCACATCCCCCCTCTCCCCCCACTAGTAATAATAGTTCGCTTGCTCCATCCCTCTTCATGTCTCACTTTGTAACTGTTCATAATTGTGTTTTATAAGCCATAAACTGGTGGTTGATTTGGTGGATGTATTTACAGTTCGAATATATAAGGTGTGAAATAGGCGGGAATGTTGTGTGTGGGTGTATCAATACTGTACTATGATAGTATGTATCAAGATAGTACAGTATGTATCACTACTGTACTTGGTGAGAGGGTCACGCGTGTATTCTTCAACACTGTTCTCTGACTCAGTCATTGTTAAATATTTTGTACTAGAGGAACGTGTTTCTGAATATATCGAGACCACTCAGTCGGTTTCTAGACACCCATATAAAAGGCTCTGGATGCCGCTTTTGAAAGTTTATAGGTATCAGTACCACAGAATCATTCTTACAGCCATTTAAGATTTCTAGACCCCAGGGAGCCGGTCGGCCGAGCGGACAGCACGCTGGACTTGTGGTTCTGGGTTCGATCCCAGGCACCGGCGAGAAACAATGGGCAGAGTTTCTTTCACCCTATGCCCCTGTTACCTAGCAGTAAAATAGGTACCTGGGTGTTAGTCAGTTGTCACGGGCTGCTTCCTGGGGGTGGAGGCCTGGTCGAGGACCGGGTCGCGGGGACACTAAAGCCCCAATATTATCTCTCAAGATAACAGTCTCTAAAAATCTTTCATGGAATTACATATTTGGTGGTTACTGATACCGCTTAAGAGTTTCGTGAATTAGAGCAATAAGGAGTATTTTGTAGATGTCTTACAACATATTCCTTTGGCTGTATAATGTTAATGAATTATTTGAGCAATTAGAGCAGGGAAATTTAATTCCATTGTAGCCACATTGTAATCTAAGGCTCAAGTTCGGTTTGGCACACTTTGGAACGGCAATATACATGTTCGTAACCCGAGTGGACCTCGGCATTATTCAGCCCATTTTAGCCCATCAGATGAAGTGGATTTTCGAAATGATCGTTACGTTGAACCTGGAAAACTGCACAGTCTATTAATGCACCGGGTGATGCCGAGTTGCAGTGACTTCAGTTTGTCCATTCGATTGGCAGTTATGGACTCAACCAACTACACCTTCCTTCAGAACAGTCAAATAGTATCTCCTAGCTGTTATTGGAATCTCCTAGCAGGGTTTAGTATCTGCAGATACCAAAGGCTCCTAGCAGGCATCACCCATTCTCGAGCAGCGATACTCCTTGGGTAATCCAAAAGAGTCCAACAGATACTGTGTTGAGGCCTGTTACTGGGTGCTCCTGACAGCTACTGTGGAGGCTTGTTGCCGAGTGCTCCTAACAGCTACTGTGGAGGCTTGTTGCTGAGTGCTCCAGTTCCTGTGTGGAGGCTAGTTGCAGGGAGCTCCTGTCAGTTACTGTTGGAGCTTGTTACCGAGGGCTTCTGACAGAAAGACTGGAAGAATTTTGTTGGCAGGAACTTCCAGGAGTCACAGTGACCACCTGTTTCTTTGTATGTGACCAGGGGCTTCTTGCAGTTACTGGGACTACGAGTCTCTCTATAGGAGCTTCTAGCAATTTATGGATCTTTCATTGTTTATTGCTGCAAGCTCTTAGCATTTATGGGAACTACTATTATGTCCTCAGGAACTGCTAGCATCTGCTAGAATTTATTATTGTCCGATAACTAGCAGTTTACGGGATATCAAATATGAATTTCGATTGCAGCTCCCAACAATTGATAGAGCATATTGGCTATGTTTGCACAATCTTTAAAGCTCTTGAAGCTTCGAACAGTTGCCAGGGCTTCTGAAAACTGCATTCGAGGCTTCGAACCGCTAGTGACAACTCTCCGCCTTCCCTTGCAATTTATGGGGGGGTTCAGTTGTCGATGGAGCACAGTCTTATGCATAGTACCTTCTAGCGGTTCCTGGGGATCTTTCTTTAATGTTACAAGGAGCTCCTTCTAGCAGTTAGGATCCGTAGCAAAACAGCGGGCAGTCGTTGCCCCGTCTTCCTGTCAAGAGTACAATGATAGTGACCATCAGGACAGCTCGTGGATCCCGGAGTGGCTACTCATACGGCCAACCTCAGGATTACCTTCTTTCAACTATTTATAATTTCGATAATTTCATTTTTATAAAAATAGATTAGCCTGTTACTTTTTGTTTTGGTAATTGATCATATTATTATTTATAATAGTGATCTTATTGTTATTTATAATAGTTCTGAGACTTTTTTTTTTTGATGTATAGAAATTCTATAATTTGGATATTTTCTTTAAAATGTCACTGGGGAATCACCCGGTGTCTGCGAACTGGTCGACTGGTCACCCTATCCCCCCCTCACTCCCCCTCCCTCTCCCCCACGTCATTACTACACAGCTTCCTACATCTCTTCCTGTTAAACCATCCTTACTTCAGTCATTCCAAAAGGGTTTTCTTTTTCAACAATAATATCTCGTGTAGTCTATTGACATTGATGTCTTACAAACACCAGTTTTCTATTCAAAGGGATTTTTTTTTAATTGGGTAAGTTTTGAATAATGCAATTATTTCAGGCCATTCTGTGATTTAAATAGTAATTAGCGTGTTTATTAAACATGATGAGACGGCCACATGCCATCACTGGCAATAAGCAGTCAATTCTTTAATTTAAAAAGGGCTCGAACCAATAAGCTTTTAGGCTGACCACTTTCGAAGCCACTTTGCAAAATATGTTTTTTCGGAAATTGGTTAATGAGGCATACAAAAAAAAAATATTATGCCAAGACAAATTTCGTTATTCCTTTTATATTGCTGCTGTTGTTCCAGTGAAGGAGCGGCTGCCTCGTGGGTTTGGAGAACCTATAAGTTAGTACATGGGAGAAGGTAGAGGTAAATATGTCCTCTTGTAACTTTTAGGAATCGTTAATCAATAATGTGAAGTGTATATAAATAATATATGTATATATGTATATATATATATATATATATATATATATATATATATATATATATTATATATATATATATATATATATATATATATATATATATATATATATATATATATATATATATATATATATATATATATATATATATATATATATATATATATTGGTGAGTTCTATTTATATGGATAATGGATAATTTGAATGTATACCGAAAGTAAAGGGGAAAAGTTAGAATTCAAACCTATACGTTACTGTGTTAACTCGATCAGGTATTTATTCCATCTCTCTTTATCTATCTCAATACTTTATTACTCAAGAAAGAGAAAGAGAGATAACTTTAAAGATAGGCTCATCAGGTGAGACATATATATAGCTGTCACCACCATGCACAAACAACGGCCCGGCAACGACTAGCGGACAAGGGCCTGAGAGTGTGTGTGTGTAGGGAACATGTCGCCTTTGTATTGTGGTCGGCGACTCTCTTGAGGTCGCGGCTGGGACCATCTTGTCCTGATCCTCGTCAACCCCTGTGTGTGTGTGTGTGTGTGTGTGTGTGTGTGTGTGTGTGTGTGTGTGCGTTCGTGCACGTTTGTGTGTATGTGTATGCCTGTGTGCTTCCTATCCTACTTTATGATTTATGTTGTATTCCCTGAGGTCACAAAAAAAAAGAGTATCTAGGTTGTTGTTTTTTCACACACACATGAATTGATCTATATTCTCACCCATTCATATATATTGCCATTTATTTATCACACATTTGTATTAGTCTGGTTCTTAAAACGCCATTGGGTGTCAACAGCGTGTTGGCAGCCCACACCACCTCATTATGTCATCATCACAAAGGCACCAAGATCTGATTTGTTTAAACTTTATCTGAATTGCAAGAATTAAACTCAGTAATAACGGTAATTCCAGTATAATATTATATATATATATATATATATATATATATATATATATATATATATATATATATATATATATATATATATATATATATATATATATATAATATGGGCGGAATTAGAACTTGAGGGAATATAGCTGTGGATGGTGTTATGTCAAACAACGCCAGGCCCTCGGTCATATTGTTATTAAGGAGAAACTTTGCTAGGATGGGCGCTCGTCTTGCCTGTGACCTCACACCACGTAACATGTGACTATGTAATGTAGTTGCCTGTAATGACACAACTTGGTTTTGATCAAGTCCCAGCTGGTTTTCAACTGGTTTAGGTCGGGACTCTTCAAATTAGATTCTTCTGCTTTGTTTTTGAGAAGGCGGAGGGAGGGGGAGGACACGTTAAGCTTGGCACCCCACTTCAGTTAAAGACAATGTGTTTTTCTTTAAAGTAATATGGTTGTGGGTCTGCCTGGTGACAGAACAGGTTCATGCTCATCCCCGGAATAACGTGTCACAGGAACATTTAAGACGTTTGTAAACATTATTACATTTGTTATATATTTGCTTTCTCTCTCTCTCTCTCTCTCTCTCTCTCTCTCTCTCTCTCTCTCTCTCTCTCTCTCTCTCTCTCTCTCTCTCTCTCTCCCTCCCCCCTCTTTCTTTCTCTCAGACACATTCCACTCCCTTTTTAATTTTGTTAATTTCTCTCTTTTCATCCGCTCCTCTTTTTTTTCGACCTTCCTCAATCACCAACAAAATGAAGCCTGTTCAAAACGGCAGAGACAGCCATCTAGTCCATAAACACAATTGCTAATTCATCTCGGTTTGTGAACAGGCCTCTGAGCAATGTTTGTGTACGTTTGTAAACGTTCCTGGCCACAGCACCATGCGCGTCCGTCCGTTCTCTTCATTCTGATTGACTTTTTATTTGACTTTATTTAATTTTCCTCAGGTGGTTTGACTGTGTCCAGACATTACGTGTTCCTGCACATGATGCCTGATGTACGGATTTAGGTGTTGTAGGGAAGTTTCATTGTTTTTATCTTAATTTTTCCCTTACGAAATGGCAAGCACTTTTTATTTCTCAATTTTTATATATATATATATATATATATATATATATATATATATATATATATATATATATATATATATATATATATATATATATATATATATATATATATATATAAAGCAAAAAGATCACGACACACTTGATCTCATTATTATGAATATGTAATTTTTTGTAATGCAGAATTTTATATTTTTAAGGTTCTCCTGCGATGGCCACTTTTTTATTTTAAATTACTTCCGTTGATATGTTTTGATGTGTAAACGCTGGAAAAAAACACCATATTCTGTGTTTGTTTGTCATGTCTAATGCTGGAAGTTTTCAATGTGATTTAGAGCACTTTGAAAAAGGGGAATAAAAGGGGAATAAACCAGCCTTAGACATTAATTCAAGGCAGCTACCTAGTCAAGAAAAACGCTTGGGACTGAATTCAAGAACGTAGCTTTAAGGGAGACGTCTGATGTTCTAACCCAACAAGACCTTCCTGATCTAAGACTTTTTAATGCTTTTTTTTAAAGAGTCGTCACTACTGTGGAAGGCTTGTTTTTTTTTTTTATTCTGTGTGTATGTTTGTATAGAGAAAGTATTCTTTTTTTATTTTTATATTCTTGGATAGGTTAAGCAATATTGTTTAGTAAATACTGATGTTTAAGCTGACCATCTTGTGAGAGTGATGTTAAGTCACCCCTTGAAGACACGTTCTTGAATTGGGCCCTAAGCCTTTGCCTCTTAAATCTTTCCTCTGTATATATATCGTTAAAGAAAAACCGTTTTCCTATTATTACTATTATTATTTTTATTATTTTTAATTATTATTTTTGAAATTTTCAATGTTTGGTGGTTGTATATAAATTTGTACCGACTCTTGATCCTCCTCCTCCTCCTATTCCCCTCTTCCTTCACCAGTCCTTCCTTCCTTCCTTCATTGACCAAGTGTGAGAAGATACCCCTCCCCCCCCCACCTGTTTCCTCTGTACAGTATTCCTGTACACCACCTTAAACTTTGTGTACAGGATAAAATATGTAAATATGAATTATTATGTGAATAAGATTGATAACCGCGTTGATTTGTATATTGACTGTTTTTTCGCCATTTCTCACATCACTGTTAACCAAAAAAAAAATATAAAAAAAATGTATGAAAACTTTTGAGCGAGTGAGGCAGCATCCCGTGTGTGTGTGATACTCTCGCCAAAATACAACAGACGAAACTTATGTTACATGAACAAAAAAATAAATAAATAAAATAATAAAAAAATATTATATGCCCATTGCCAATTGTAAGTGAAGAGAATAATACTGTTACAGCCCCCTGAACAGGGGGCAGGCGTCGGCGTGGCCCTGTGTCCGCCCACGCCCCAGCAGGTAGAGTTTTTCAATTGTACAAAGTGTATTTTTATTAGCAACTTATCCCATGAAATACAAAGTGTTTGATAAAAAAAAATGTGTGTTTTTGTATATCCTTTATTTTATGATTCGGTGGTTGAGAACTGGGGTGATTTATGCATTGGAAAGTGAAGTGTAACCCACTTTATATATATATTATATGAATATATATATATATATATATATATTATATATATATATATATATATATATATATATATATATATTTATATAACTTGAACACATTTCTTCAAAGCCATAGATATAATTGGAAGATGTATAATAATTGAAGTTAGATTTATATTATATTATAATAATATAATTTATATTATATATTAGATTTATATATGCTTCAAACCAATACAAAATAGAATCATTAATATTCCTAAGAGAAGATAGTAACTTATTGAAGATAACATGTTCTCAAAAGTTAATGGATGAAAACCACCTATAAGCAGAAAATCAATTCAAATGAAGTAAACTAATTGTGCTTAGGTTGTATTTCTGTTCTTACGACCCTCCTGTAAACTATCAGAGGAGGTAGTTACCTACATAGTAAATAACTATTATGAAACTTCCACATTATCGAGCACTAAGTCGTTCCTTATTACAGGAAATAAAGTTAAACATTAGGAAAATAACTGAGGGAATATTTAGGAAAGATGGAGAAAGATACAAGTTGAGGAATCTTAAGAAAAAAAACGTGCTACTGCTTGGAATATATTAACAATTGACTACTCTATTTAGTCAACTACTATGAAATCTACTATGTTTAGACTTCGACTTACACTTGGATGAGGCACCAGTAAATAATTGTCTCAATCAATGAGCTGTGGTGGACTGATTAAAACAAAACAATCAGTATTAACTAAATTAAGACAAATTATAAGATGTCACAGAAAATAAAAGTGTTCCATGGGGCCTACGGAACATATGTATCACTGTCGACCCTGGAACACAAACCGAAACTGTCTCTATTTTCCGCTTGTAACAACTTGTAATAAAGTTGTTACATCTTGCTTAACGTTTTTATGACGTATTGGAACGTTGCTACAACTTGATATATTGGTTGTTATAACTGGTTAGGTTGGTGTTAAAACTTGTTCGAACGTGTACCAACGTCGTAGTTTCGGTGTGTGTTTGGAGGGAGAGAGCCAGGCTGCTCCTAGCTCTATTTCTATATTTTTCGCCCTAGGTCTATTACACTGCTCTTCTGCATGTACTCCACTCTTCTTCCCCTACATCTACTCCACTCTTCTTCCCCTACATCTACTCCACTCTTCTTCCCCTACATCTACTCCACTCTTCTCCTCTACATCTATTTCACTCTCCCCATTCACACATTAAGTGTATTTCAATCCTGTCCTATTCTT